TGATTTGTTTTCGCTTATACTTGTATTATATTGATTTTTCCCAGATATTTAGTGTAAGGATTTTGTATTTGTCCCTAGAAATTCTGTAGAGTTAAAGAGGAGAGAGAGCTTTTATTGTGCTTCTCTGTGTTGTTATTGAGGTAATCTTGCTTGTTGTGGGATACTGGGGCATCGTTGAAGAGTCACTCCACTCCATCTCTCAGGAAAGACCAAACCTCTACCCACAATGTACACAGCAGTACTGTGCGAATAGATGGTTTTTATTTACTGTAACAATTAGAAAGTGGAAATGTTCTTGACAACCAATAAGAACCAAAGAATCAGAATTTACACTCCAACACATGGGGGAAAAAATATACACAATACAATTCATTTATATAACTCATAACTTGCTGTGTGTTGGGAGTGTCCCATTGTGGGGATGGAGGACTTCACCTACTGCTGCTGAGGATGGCTCTGGAAGGAAGGAGTGTGAAGGACAATGACTTCTGGAGGAGACAGTGAGCTCTCCCACGAGAAGGTAAAGTTTAAGGTAAGATAAGTAAGTAAACTCTTACTTAAAAGTAAGAATTTAAAGTAAGATAACCAGCAATAGGTCTGGATGTTATCAGGGACAGTCCAGATATCCTCTGTGCGTATTGCTCATTATTGAATGTACTGTACCTTTACATGATGACCAGTGACCTTGTACTAATAGTCTCTTTCTGCTATACAGTAACTAGCAAGACAAAATGGAGTCAACCCGTGCTTTACATAATTAGATGGATCAAAAGTCAGAGAATTACATGGCAGGCTGGTCTGTGGTCCAGACCTGGAAGATCATGATCAAAAGGAGCCTCTTCTTCCTTGGTTAGACAGTTTTAGTCAAAACCTCCACACCACCTCAAAAAAACAACACAAAATAAATCAACAAAAAAAATCTTTAATAGCACTTAACTCCAAATTAGACAAAGTACTTTTCTACACCAATGGTTTTTATCTCGTATGAATGCACGCATGGCGCTTGAGAGTTCCTGCCTGGTTGAAACTCTTCCCACACTGCTCACAGCTGTACGGTCTCTCTCCTGTGTGAACCCGTTCGTGAATTTTAAGGTGTGCTGCAGAACTGCAAGTTTTCCCACAGTGTTTGCAGCAATAAAGCCTCTCTCCAGTGTGAATCCGCTCATGATACTGGAGGGCTCCTGCCTGTGTGAAGCTCTTCCCACACTGTTTGCAGCAGTACGGCCTCTCTCCTGTGTGGATCCGCTCATGACTCTTGAGGGCTCCCGTCTGGCTGAAACTCTTCCCACAGTGTTTACAGCAGTACGGTCTCTCTCCAGTGTGAATCCGTTCATGAATTTTACGGTGTGCTGCAGAACTGCAACTCCTCCCACAGTGTTTGCAGCAGTGTGGCGTCTGTCCTGTGTGAATCCACGTGTGCTTCTTGAGATTTGCTACCTGGGTGAAGCTCTTCCCACACTGTTCACAGGAGAACGGTCTCTCTCCTGAGTGAATCAGCTCGTGACTCTTGAGAGTTCCTGCTTGGTTGAAACTCCTACCACAGTCTTTGCAGCAATATGGTCTCTCTCCCGTGTGAATACGTTCATGAGTTTTAAGGTGTGTTGTAGAATAGCAACTCTTCCCACAGTGCTTGCAGCAGTATGGTGTCTCTCCTATGTGAATCTGCTCATGATGTTTGAGGGCTGCTGGATATTTGAAACTCTTCCCACACTGCTCACAGCAGTACGGTCTCTCTCCTGTGTGAATCCGCTTGTGACTCTTGAGGGCTCCTACCTGGTTGAAACTCTTCCCACACTGTTCACAGCAGTACGGTTTCTCTCCTGTGTGAATCCGTTCATGACACCTTAGGGCTGCTGCCAAATGGAAACTCTTCCCACAGTGCTCACAGCAGTACGGTCTCTCACCTGTGTGAATCCGCTCATGATACTTGAGAGCTGCTGCCCGACTGAAACTCTTCCCACACAGTTCACAGCAGTACAGTCTCTCTCCTGTGTGATTCTGTTCATGATTCTCGACAGTTCCTGTACAGATGCTCACTTGTCCCTTGTCCTGTGTTTTAATCTGGTCAGACTCCTGATGAGACTCAGTTTCCAGTCCTGCAGAACTGAGGGACTGAATCCTGGACAGATCTGCAGTGTAGCTGGAGTCCAGATCACTTTCACTCTTCACACTGGGAGACACAACATCTGAACAGGATTCATGAGATTCTTGAGCATCAAATCCTTGTGTCTCACACTGAGGTTCTGTTTTAAAACTTTTAGATTCCAGTATCTGGAGTTTGTGTTCAACACAACCACATCCTACTGCATCCTGAGTTCCCAGCTC